AAGTTTCTTGAGCATCCATATAAGCACTGTTTTGAACTTTGTATACGGAATTTTGTTTGCCTCCATTTCATTTAGTTCTTTTTCTGTAGATTTCACCTGTTCTTTCACTTGGGGTATATTTCTTTGTCTCCACATTTTTTCTGCTTCCCTATGTTTGTTTCTATGTATTAAGTAGAGCTGCTACATCTCCCAGACTTAATAGAGTGGCCTTGGTTAACAGGTGTCCTGTAGGGTCCAGTGGCACAGCCTCCCCAGTCACCTGAGCTGAATGCTCCAGGTGTGTCCTCTGTATGGGCTCTGTGCACTGTCCTGTTGTATTTGAGCCTTGATTATTGTTGATGTCAGTGGGAGAGAATGGCCCTGATGCCAACCAACTGCAAGGATAGGCTGTTACTACAGCAGAGGAGATGCTGTGCAGGAATCAACCCTATGGAGCAGGATTTGCTTCAGTGGGGCTTCGGTGCTCACTAAGCCCACCCCTGGAGTGTGTCATTCATGGAGGTGGTAAGGTTGTAATCTGGCATGGTCTGAAGCTGTCCACTGGGGACACTGGCTCTGTGGCCTTCTGGGAGGTGCACCTGGGCCCTGCCTTGAACCACTCAGCATGAACTACAAAGCAATTTGCAGATGGATGTTACTTGTGCTGGGCTTGGAAGTGCTCAGGAGTGGCTAAGCTGTGAGCCAAGGCCAGATGCTGCCAGTGGTGGGCCTGGGGTCACTTAGTAAGAGGTATGCAGTACAGAGAGGCCAGGTGCTGCTTGTTTGAGAGATTTTAGGAAAAACCAAATCATAAGGCAAGAGGAGCCATTTGTATGGAAAGCCACTGAAAACAGCTTGAGTGGGCCTACCAGTTATGTTGGGCGGAGCCTCAGGGAACCACCAGGGTGGGGAGAATAGTGTTAGCTTGGCTCATGGATTATCAGATATGGTGCCCACAGCTCTGTGGCTCTGTGGGGGGAGGGCTCAGAAAAGGAACAACGGCCTCTTCCAGCACTTTTGTCTGAGAGAAAGCTGTTCCCCCCCAGCTCTCACCCCAATGTTGGACACTTCAGTTCCTCCCTATATTTCCCTGGTACCTTTTGAGCTGCTGCCCTACACTGGAACTCAGAGGGAGTGAGTCTGAGTAAGTCCGTGCATGGGTCATTTAAAAGGAACTGCCTGGGACTTCAGAAGCTCTCTGTCTCACTCAGCCTCAATCTCCTCTGGCTTTTACAGGAAGAAGTTATAGGAAATTATCTTCCCGGCACTGGAAACCTGGGCTGGGGGGTCTGGTGTGGAGCTGGGACCCCTCGCTCCCCAGGGGGGTGCTCTGCAGCAGAGATATCCCTCCCAACTTTAAATCACCACACACAGGTGTGGGACCAACCTGCTCTGTGTCTCTGCCCCTCCTACCAACTTCCACGTAGCTTCTTTAAGTCCCTGGTTGTAGGACTTCCATTCAGCTAGATTTCAGGTGGTTCTGAATGATGGCTCTTCTGTAGTTTAGCTGTAATTTTGATGTGGATGTGGGAGGATTCGAGGACCACATTTACCTATGCCACCACCTCGACCAAAAGGCCTCTGGCCAAGGCTCTGAAGAACTGAAAAAGCCCAGGGATTTAGAGCTTGGCATCTGGTCCTTTACCCTGGAAGCATTTGCCAGTTTCATAGTCTGCTGCTGATCTTTTGACAGACTCATGGGAACTGGGGGTGAGGAAGATAACATTTGCTTTTATCCGCCACTAAGGAGGAGAGGTCTCGATAAACACCCCAGGTCTGGGCTGGGACCCTGGAAGGTCAGGAGTGAAGAAGTGGAGCAGCCCGCGCAGCTACTGAGTCCACTCCAGCCCTACCTGGGTGAAGGGCATCTGGGCTGCAGCGCCCTGGCCTCACTGCCCAGTGGAAGCCAAAGTGAATCATCTCTGGAGAAAGACAGCTTCATCCAAAGCTTTATGTGATCTCGACAGTTTATGTTATGCGGTGTCCAGCAGTCAGTAAAAAGTAGTCAGGCACAGGCAAGCCACCTGTGCACAGGAGAATACAGGCAATAGGAGGAGACCCAGCAGGGGTTCATATGAGAGAGTTATCACGGGCAGCCTTTACATGAACCACGAATAAAATGTTGAGGGATTTAAAAGACAAGATTGAAACTTTTGGCAGAGAACTGGAAACTATGCAAGGAAGGAACCAAATGTAAACTCTAGAACTGAAAGAGGCAATGAACTGAAATTGAGAAGGAGATGGCATTTATGTGAATGTCACTGTGCTGAACACTGCATAGGCACAACAATTAGGGCTCACCCTGCGGTGCCCGTAGTCCTGCCCAGTGTCACTCCTAGGACACAGACAGCCTGTTTTTCCTATCTCCTTGTAAATGGGACTTGGTCATTTCTGGTGTCACAAGTGTGTAGTCAGGCAGGGCTCGGCATGTGGAAGGCACTAGACACAATTGTGCTGTCTGGAGCTCAGAGGGAAAGGCAAGGGGCCAACAGGGAGGGCCAAGTTCACTACGTGCCCAGTAAACTGAATGCAGTCATTAAACTTAATTCAGGAAGCGGAGGGAGGCATGGAGTGCCAGAACTGAGAATAAGTGTAGTCAGAGATTTCCTGTGGGCAGAAATCACAGGGACACCAACTGTTTTCAGACAGAACCAAGAGTGGAACTGTTGCCAGAAGCATGAGGAGAAGGAGGCAGCTTCTCCTCCCCCTGCTTCCTCCCCACTCCTGGGAGCAAGAATCAGAGTGCAGGGCAGTGTTGACTGGGTCACGTGCATTGTGATTGACCTCACTCCCTTTACTGTGATGAAAAGCACACTCGATGGCAATCTATTGTTTGAATATTTCCTGTGTGTCAAGGTCAGGGCTAAGTACAACATGTGCAGTACCCCAGTCCTCACAGTGACCCACGACAAATCTTCTGTTATTAGCCCCAGCTAATCGATAATGAAACTTGGACCAAGAGAGCTTGGGCACATGTCCTGAGTGGCCTATAAACGACACGGGAGAACGCGGTCTAAATTTTCTGATGTCAAGCCTGGCCCCAGGGATGCCCACCCCAGACCCAGAAAGGCCCTTCTTGGGCACAGTAACCAAAGAACACACACCTGGAAAGGTGGGAGCTCATGGCTTCTGCTCCAGGGGAAATCTGTCTCTGAATTTGGATTGGGGACTGCAGAACATTGGCAGGAGCCAAACTTGACTGGGTTCATACATATCACCTCCTTCAGGCAGCCTTCCCCAAAGCCAAAAAAGACAAACAAAAGACCCCCCTGGCCCTCAAAGGGAGACACCATTTCTTGAATGTGTTTCAGAGGCTAGAAGACTCCCACCAAGTCACAGGGCTCTTCCAAGCAAACACCCAGGGAGGTGACACAATTTTTGCATAAATATTCCATTTGATCTCCTGAAGAGCTCTTTAAATATATGGGAAATTCCTTTTAACCTTCCTCTTCATTTTTTATTGACATGTAATTGACATATTATATTAGCTTCAGGTGTAGAACATAATGATTTACCCATCACAACACATGGTTATATAATTTTTTTCTTGTGATGAGAACTTCTAAGACCTGCTCTCTTAACAACTTTCAAATATACAGTGTAGTCTTCCTCTTTGAAAGGTTACCCTCATTTGGACAGAGATGCTGATTTGTTTGTTGAAAATCAAGTCCAACTCATCATATCGACTGTTGCAGGAGGATGGTTGGCTGGGGGTCATACCCGTGCAATTAACGAGCTATGCAGCTTGGACAGGTCCCTTTCCTTCCTGGGTCTTTCTGGGTCTTCTTCAAAACAGTGATGGGGGAAATAGGATTACTGAGCTCACATCCAGTCCTGAAATGCTACAATCTGTTTCTGCAGTGACATGTGTACTCCCATCATGTAGTCATGTAGAAACTCTCCTTGTCTTTTTTCTACCCATAAGTACAAGTGTGCTTACATTTTCCCTAACCCTCTAGAAGGTAGTAAGGAAGGAAATTAATGTTTATTAGTGTCCACTCTAGGCCAGAATTTCCCCCTTCCAAACCCTCTTCCTTTCTTTTCCCTTCCTTTCCCTTGTTTTCCCTTCCCTTCCCTTCCCTTCCTTTCCCTTCCCTTCTCTTCCCTTCCCTTCCCTTCCTTTCCCTTCCTTCCTTATACTGTGAGGAAGACACTATTGCCCTCATTCTGACCATGAGAAGGCAGATGCCTAAATCAGTAAAGTGATTTGTTCAAGGTCACGAAGGTGGCTACGGGCAAGTGGCAGAGGTGGAATTTGGATCCATTTTTATCACGGTGCTGAATTCGCCACAATGTCCCAAGACCGTACTTTAGAGCTGTGGACGACAGGACAGAGCCGGTGTCATTGCCTCTCTCATGAGTTGTCTCGGGAGCAGAAGTCCAAAATCTTCAGGCAAATCTGCTACCACCTGTTTCTGTAAATAAAGTCAGATGGAACTCAACCAGCTTGTTCATTTACAGAATTTTTACCTGCTTTTAAACTATGACACTGAGTTGAGTAATCACCAGACTCTGTGGCCCATGCATCCTAAAATGTTTACTATTTGGTGCTTTTTACAGAACATTCACAGTCCCTGGCCCAGGGTCCAGCAAAGTTGTCCCTCCTTCAAAGGACACAACATATGAGACCATCCCTGTGCTCTGCCACTCAGCATTAGGAAAGAGGACATTTCTATTCAAATTTGTTTTTTTAAGTCAACAAACAGTCCCTGGACACCTCTCAGACAGATGAGCATGTTTGGTTTGCATTGTGTTTTTCTTCCCAGGAACTCAGTGAAGGGAAATGGAAATCTCCACTTTGGGGAAATTGCACCGGGGGAAGGAGGAGGGATGGTTACAACACTGCATTGCAACACCCAGCAGGGCTGATCATGACAAAAGTGAGGGTTTCTCTTTTTGGAAATTTGAGGGCATTTCCGTTTCTGAGAGTGGGACAGGGCGGCAACCGCTGGTTTGGGTGAGGGACTATCTTCTTTATAAGCAGGTCCCCTGGGGCCGAAATGGCAGTCTCTGTTGCCCGCAGTGCCACAGGATGGGAATCCGCGGGTGCTCCCCAAGTCACCTAATCTCTCTCCTCCTCTTCCTGTTCCCTTCAGAGATAGCCTGCCGCCCCTCAGGGAAGAGACCCTGCAAGATGCAAGCCTTCAGGTAAGGCCGACCGAGGAGGTGGGGTGGACATGCCACAGAGGGCTGTGTCTGGACTGGAAAGTAATGTCCATTACTAGAAAAGGGGGCTGCCGCATGTGGGGCCTTCAGGAATTGTATTTCAAGAGATCCCAGGTGTGCTAGCTTGGCTGGCTTTGGAGGCCTGGCTGACTTTCCCTGATAGCCTGGCAACTCAGTGAGTGGTGGGCACGTGCCCAGGAGCCCAGCTGGGGTTTGGGCCGAGTGTGCGAGTGCGCCAGGTAAAGAAGCAGAGAGGGCCCCAGGGCAGAGTTGTCGCAAGTTCTGGGAGATGATTAGCAGTGCTCACATGGTGGTGGTTCCTGCCCTCTGGGGCCTCAGTTTCCCCATCTGTGACATGGGTTTATAAGGACCCCCTTGCCTGCCTATCAGAGTGGTTGTGAAAATAGCAGTGTGACAGTGCTCTGTGAGCTCTAAAGCGCCCCCAGACTATTGTGACTTGTAAAAATTGAGCCAAAAGCCTTGTGGATGCCACTATTGCTGTTGTGAAGATGATAGGCTATGATGCATGCACAGGTGCTCTCTGCCCGGTGACCCATGACCGAGCATGTCTAGGTGACTTCACCATCCAGTGCTGAGTTTCTCTGGCCCAAGACTGCAGGTCAGGCTGTGTGCGTGTGCACCTGGGCAAGTCCTCCCCTTCCCAGAGGTGGGAAGGTTTGCTCTGCCTCCTCTTATGGCCTGGGAGCTCCAGGAGACGCCCCTAGAGGTCTCCAGAAGGGGCTGCTTAATCCCTTCAGATGCATACACGTAGAACTAAGAATAATTACAAAAGGTCACATGCTTACCTGTGCAAACAACTTTATAGTTTGCCTGACTATCTCATTAAGCTCTGGGCTCCTTGAAGCCACCTGAAGAGGTACTGCTGTTAGTGGTACCTCCCAGGACAGGAGTGAGGCACAGACCCACAAATCGGGCTGGCAGGCAGTAGGGAGCAGAGGGTCCTTATCCATCTCAGAGCTGGAGGGGCTCTTCTCTGAGAAGACAAGAGTGGGAGCCAGAAACAGGCTACTGGGTGAACTAGAGAGGATGCTGACCCCTTCCAGGGACAGCTACCCCTGCCAGACCCAGAGAGGGTCCCGGTGGGTGGAGGACAGGCCCTGGGACAGACCTTCCCTGGTTACGACAACGTACTCTGTCCCTAGAAACCTCTAGTCTCAGATGACACTGTAAGTTTATGTTTAAATTAATACTTAATAAAATTAAATAATTCAGATCTTCAGTTGCACCACATTTCAAGAGCTCAGTAGCCATGAGTGGCTGGTGGCTGCCATATGGGCAACAGACGGGACATTCTGCACCCCAGAAAGTCCTACTGGCAAGAGCTTCCCTGGGGCTGATGTCTAGGCACTCGTCCTGGGAACCCAAGGATGAAGAGCAGGGCAAGGACTGGTTCTGTCCCCTAAGCGGCGTTGATCTCAGTTGCTCCCTCATGCCATGGGTGTGTGAAAACACCACTCCCCAGGCAGAAAGTTGGATGCAGACTCAGTGAACTTGGTGGGCACAAGGAGGGGCTGAGCACAGGGCCTGACACAAGGTTGTCCAGTACAGTGGGCCCTTTCACTTTTCAGAATCTGGGATATTAACCAGAAGACCTTCTACCTGAGGAATAACCAGCTAGTTGCCGGATACTTGCAAGGACCAAATACTAAATTAGAAGGTGAGTGGTTGCCAAGAACATTGTTGTGTGTGTTCCGGGTCACTCTGCCTAGGGTCTGCAGTGTTGTGGCCTCTGTGTGACAACATGATCCTGATGGAGAGGACTGGTCATCAGGGGGCACATCTGAGGGCAGCTTCAGAAGGTTAGGGACGGGAAGAGCCTAGGTAGGGAGCCACCATCTGCAGGCCCAGGGGTCCTAGGGCCACAGCTCGGCGGTGGGGGGCAGAAAGCAAGATGGACCTTTCCTTCCTCCTGTGCCCAGTCAGCCCTGTGTCCCTGTGTGTTTAAACTCAAACTCACTTCCACAATGAATACACCACACACATGCAGGGCTATGTCCCTTATCCATGGACACATATTCAACAAGCTCTGGGCCAGGTTCTAAATAAGCCAGATGAAATCGGGCAGCTGCCCCCAGGCTACTCCTCAGTTTTCCCTGTGGTAGGATGAGGGCAGGTGGTTGATGTGGTAGGGGAGCTTCAGCACCGGCCTTCTGGGGTGCGTCATCTTCATCCCCCCACCCTGCCCCTCCCCTGTTCTCCCTGATCCTCATCTTGTAGGAGGGTAAGACCTGTATTTCCAGTCCTGGTATTGCTCCTAATAAACATGCTAAAGCAGGAATACTTGGCTTTTACTGTTACATGAGGCCCAGAGACCACTGAGGTGAGAGGGTCAAAGCCACCAAGCCCTGGGGCTGCACTTTTGACCTCCTGTGTGATTTTCTCTACTCCTGAGCAGCACACCTATTGGTCTGGAGCACAGGTATCCCAGGGATTGAAGGGAGGAGAGAAATCACATGGAGCAGAACCTAGACACTTGGCCCCTGAGGAGAGGAAGTGGTTGTTCTTGGTTGGATCTTCTGTTTGGATATAAACCAGAAGGATGGAGCCTCACTGTACTCATGACTTTGGGTTTAGTTAGGAAGACAGAAAAGCCCCAGGGAGGGTCTGGGCCCTTCTTCGTCTCTGCCTCCTCTTCTCTACAACCTGAACTTCCCCTCTGCTCCTCCCCAGAGAAGATAGACATGGTGACTGTCGAGCCCCATACTGTGTTCCTGGGGATCCATGGTGGGAAGCTGTGCCTGGCCTGTGCCAAGGTTGGCGATGAGATCCGGCTCCAGTTGGAGGTAAGGACCTGCCTCAGATAACAACCACCCCAAGCCCAGTGGCTTCAAACAACCACAGTATGTCCTTTTTCATGACTCTATGCATTGTCGGTTGTTGCACAGGGGGCTGTTCAGCAGGGAGCTCAGCCTTGGCATTAGGGTGGCTTCTCCTCCCCCAGGCTCCTCCCTATGCTTACCCAGAGCTTGGTGTTCAGCTTCAGCTTCTCTATTGCATGGCCGCTGGTTTCCCAGAGGGATTATTCAGAAAACACGAGCACTTATTTAAAGCCAGCTTACATCATACTGCTAATGTCCCCTTGGCCAAAGCCCATCACATGGCTGAGTCTAGTCTCGGGGTGAGGGGGGCTACACGGGGGTCAGTGCCTGGAGGAGGCTCCCTGGGGGACTTCAATCTCTGTGTGCCACTGTCTTGTCTGAGGGCCCCCAGCCCACTTACACTTGACCTCTCCCAGTAAAGCCCCTGTCCAGGACCTCTTTCTCCCAATCCTTGTCTACTCAGACCCATGGGTTGGCATCCCATCCAGGACCCCGCACTCCTGGATCCCACGCAGTGTTAATGGGCTGCCCTCAGTAAAGGTGGCTCTGTCTCAGGAGCTTGCTGGAACAAATCTTAACCCACCGCGGCCATAACGGTGGCACTGTCAGGTTGCTCCACTAGAGGGCAGGGCACTTTTTCTGAGAGCAAGTGCCTGCTCTGTGTGGAGTGGGGATGGTGTTGAGTGGACTGCAATGCTCTGCCCACCTTCTGCACTGCCCCCTCCTTGGGGGCACAGACCCTGACAGAGATCAACTTCCACAGGCCTGGGCCTCTGTTGATGGTGCCACGTGTTAATTAAACTTTTTGACCCCTAGCAGCAGTAGTCAGATTTTCCCAAGCCAAGCTATAATAAGGGGACATGTGGTCTCCTGCAGGGGTCTCCAGTCTACATTTCTCTGGCACTTACTGCGGGCTGGCCTGAGGGCCATGTCATGGACTGGAGGGGCAGGTGGCACAGGAGCTCTCACCTGCTCATCTCTTGGCTTCCAGGAGGTCAACATCACTGACCTGGCCAAGACAAGGGAGCAGGACAAGCGCTTCACCTTCATTCGCTCAGTCAGCGGCCCCACCACCAGCTTTGAGTCTGCCGCCTGCCCCGGCTGGTTCCTCTGCACAGCGCTGGAGGCAGACCAGCCTGTCGGCCTCACCAACACACCTAAGGAAGCTATAAAAGTCACCAAGTTCTACTTCCAGCAGGACTAGTGGTGCCGCCACACTGCCACCCTGCTGCCACCACATCCAGGACTCCAGACGCCTCTTCGCCCTTGCCCATGTTCCCGGCTGTCGTGGGGCTCTGAGGAGCAGCCTTGGCAGGTGGACCCTCAAAGGAACGACAGGAACCCTGGGATCAGGACTCTGTCTCCAGCCCCCTCCGCTAATGCAACTTCATGCTGCCTCCACAGTGGTCTTTCCAAAATGCAACTTGAATCTTGAATCACAACACAACTCAAAGCCCTTCCTTCAGTGTCATCTGTGCCTTCCCAATAACAGCTGGGCCACCTGGTCAGCCTGTCACCTCTGCTCTCCTCTCCCAGCTCCCCCTTCTGCCCCCTTGTCCATGCCCCAGGTCCCTGAAGCCACTCACTCACCTCCCTCCAAGCGGCTCCTAAGCCTTGTTTTGCAAACCTTGGGACAGCAGCACTTTTAGGGTCCGTGGCAAAATGAAAAAAAAAGGATTTCATGATATTTTTTAAAAGCCCACTATATCCAATTTTAAACAGTGTTTTATTTGGGGATTATATCCTTCCTGGAAGGGGGTGGGAGGTCAAAATATTTCTCAGTTTTACAATAAAAACCTTGAAAATGCATCTACTTTGTTGGCTGTGTCCATGGCTCCCAGGCTTGGGGCAGAGAGTGCTGGGAAATGATGAGGCCGAGGGCCGCCTCACTCTGGGCCGGCCTGGCTGCTTCTCCTCTGAGGGCTTCTCTCCTTGGGCCTCACTCCCCCTAGACACTTGAGACCAAGTTTCCCTGCAGAAAGGTGTGTGGCAGCCTTGTTCACAATAGTCCTGAACCAGAAACAACCCAAACACCACCACAGAAGAGTGGATCTGGTGTGTTCATACAATCCAGCTCAACAGCAAAAAAACAAAACAAAATAAAAACAACAACAACAACAAAAACAAAGGATGTACCACAGCCAGCAGCACAGAACAAAACAGGCGAACCTTGCCCACACTATGGGTACAAGCATCACAAGAGCAGAGAGCACGATTCTACTTACGTGGAGTTCAAAACTGGCAAAATGGAGCAGTCGTGTGGAGGGATGACTAGACAAGCAAGAGGAGACGCGCAACAGAAACGTGATTTCCCTGAAAGCTGACGGTGGTGACTCGGACACGGAGGGTCAGGTGGTACACCAGAGCCGTGAGGATCCAGGCAACATGCTACTTCTTGGCACAGATGTGGTCAGGCAGTTTTCTGTACATGTGTGTATTTTAAAATGTCCAACAAATACAAAGCCTATCCCCAGAGGCGAGGGAGGGGGCATCTGGGAAATGACAGGAGCAACAGGACGAACATCGTATTTGGCCCCATGAGCTGGACGTGCTAAACCCTAAGAAGACTACTCATCAGATGTCCCTCGGCTAATAGGTGAGCAGGGAGTGCTGTCGTCCCTCCTGCAGGGAGTCCTGGAGTCAGACCTCAGCTGGGCCACAATCTACTTGTTTGCTGCAGGAGAGTGTTGACTTAGATCTGGTTTCCAAAGGGTACTCCTTGGGACCCTCTCCCAGGTGTCTGGGAAAGAACCCCAGAAAGAGAGGCTGAGCGGCTGGGCTCCACCCCTCACTCTGCTCAGCTTCCTGCTCACAAATCAAACTTCCTAAATTTATTTGAGGAGGGGATCTCATTGTTAAAAACAAACGACATTTGACAGGTTAAAAAGCAACCGACTGGAAAAAAATCTTCACGATTTTGTCCAGATCTCAGATCCTGTGATGACAGTGAGGTCAAGGAAGTTGCCCATCTCAGTTTCTCTTCCTCCTGTGTAAAGTGGAAGTAGCCACGCCTTCTCCATAGGAACCATACAAGGATGGAACTAGTTGATCCAGATGAAATGCTGTGTGATAAAAGGGTCTGTGAGGTTAGGTTTTCAGTCCTGATAAAAGGGGGAAGTTCAAGGCAGAAAACCATTCAAGGATGAATGGTAACAACAGCAGTGAACACGTGATTCTCCACAGCCATCCTGCCCTTCAGGTGCTTCATGTGATGAGGTTAGTTCCAGGTGAGGCGGGGCAGTTGCCATGCATGCAAGCCCTGGGGCTCTGGAGCTACTTCCTGTTTGTATTTGTGCTCCTGGATGAGATATGGTCTTGGAACCTCAGTTTCCTCATTGCTAATTCAAAGGGCTGAGTTGCCCCATTTAATCTTTGCAGGAAACTTCTGTTGTGGGTACTAACATTATTTTTACTAGTGTTGATCCTGGAAGAGTCAGTGCTCAAAGCAATCCACTTTAAAGTATTGTCGCTCAAAGTTTGGTCTGAAGACCAGCAGCAGCATTTGGGGTAAAATGTTACACCCCAGACCTCATGCCAGATGCCCTGACTTAGGGTCTAATCCTAACCAGTCTCCAGGAGATTCTACATGGGTTACAGTTTGAGAAGCTCAGCTTTAAAGTGCAGCACCTCCCTCCAGCTCACTGACAACGATACCTCTGTCTCAGCACCTCTTCACCTAGGACACAGAGTTCGTCAGGTCAGCAAGAGCTGGGAGCCATTGTCATCCTAAGATATCCACTCCACACATGCAGGGATTTCCATGTTTTCTTCTGTAATGCATCTCAGGTACCCAGATCAATGCTCTTGAGTATATACGTCTTGTGTGCTCAGTAAATATTTGGTGAGTAAATGAATTCGCTACCGATAAATCAGTAGGACTTAATGAACACCCTGGATCAGAAAAATTGAGAATACAGCAGACTTGGGCTAGCAGAGTTTTGAAAGAAGACTTGGAAAAGGGAAGAGCCCAAAAGTAGGAGGTTCCTGGGGTTTGAGGCTTTCAAGGAATGAAATGTGAGCATGAGGCAGCAGTGGCACACTCAAACTTGACTGGGTGATGCTTTGACAGGCTACTTTGGGGAACCCTCACAGTAGGAATCAGTCCATAGGCCACTCAGTGGTGGTTGCTGCTTAGAGGAGAGGAGGGCACGAGGCTGAGGGAGGAGAACAGGAAAGGCGGCTCATGTGTCTGGGCAATGCATTCAGCAGTACATTGGGAATTTTGGGGACAGAGAGCACCAAAGGATAGCAGAGCTTGAGGTCTTTGTGGCCTGGGCTTATCTATGGCTACCAGATGCTGGGTATAGTTTTGTGGGAAATGCAAAGCAGGCAGGCTCTAAATGGCTAAAAATTTGCTTGTTTGGGTGATGTTTAAAACAATTGGAGGTGGATGCATTGAGTTTGACATCAGGTAAGCTACTTAGCCTGTTGTGACGAAATCGACCAGCCAAAGCCGGTACATGGAGGCCACCTCTTGCTCCTTGGCATAATGCAGGGCCTGGGACACGGCTCAGGAATCCAGGCCTCGGCAGAAAACTGAGGTGGGGCTTCTCTACAGTCAGGAGGGGTGTGAAAGGGTGACGGGAGGTGGGGGTCTCAGGTGGGAGAGAAAAACACAGAGACGGAAGGTAGACAAGCATCTCAGAAGAGTGTGGCCTTCCTGTCACATGTAGGCCTGACTCTACAATAGGGCCACAGAATCACAGAACAGCACAGATGAAGATTTGGAACTGAATACACAACACTCCAGTCTTCAAGGCTTTCAAGTCTAGTCAGGGTTTCCCCACTAACAAGAGAGGTGACCTTGGTCAGGCAACCTCCTCTCAACTTTTTCACTTAAGGAGGAGGGATTAGACTAGATCTATGTTCTCATTAGGCTCATCTGCAGAATAAAAAAAAAAAATTATGCCAGTGCAGTAGAAACCCCCAACCTCAGGACTGGTCTATGGGTGGCTGGGGGATGAAGCCATGACATCAGCCTTCCAGGGCCCAGACCCCTGGACAAAATGGCTCCTGACTCAAGGACTCTGAAGTCCATTTCTCCTAGCTGCTCCCTCAGCCTGGGTCCCTCCTGGAGCTTCTGCAAATGCCAAGGAGAGACATGGTCTTTCACCATCTCTTACATAGAAAGACTCCACCAAGTCACACTCTATTCTGAGTATATTTTAATTTGAGTTGAAGGGAAAAAAAGGTTTTCCACTTTCTCTGGTTAAGATGCACTTCAAGCTTCACTTTTTCTTCTTTGGCATAAATTATACTATAATAGTAGGTGTTAATTTGGGGTAAAATTCTTGCAAATCTTGGGAAAATTAAATAATTTTGTGTTTTCTCTTCACATAACTATGAAATCTCTAAGTCATAGTGGCAAATCTCAACATGCTTGATAATAAGCCCTATTCTAAGAAAAGTTTGGAGAGAGAGTGAAACACATCTGTGGGGTCCTTGGCTTCAAACTGAAAAAGCTTGAACAGAAGGATAGTCAGCTTCCAAGAGAATGTGTGGCCTCTGGGTCTTTGCAGAGTCCAGTGTATGGGGGTTAAAGGCAGCTCAAGAAATGCTGAGAGTGGGGCAAGATGGCAGCAGAGTAGGTAGAAGTTACCCTTGCCTCCTCCCAGGACCATATCAGAGTAACAGCTAAAGAACAGACACATCTACATGAATAACTATCCAGAGACTAGCTGAACAGAAGTCTTATAAGACCTTACAGAGGAACCTGCATTAAAACTAGTAAGAAAAGCACAGGTGCAAAAGGGGCTGGCCCCACACCCATGGGTGGTGGGTAAGAATCCAGAGGGCTATCTCGGCTGAGGAGGATCTCTGCAGAGGAGCGAGGGGTCTCAGCTCCATCCTAGGGTCCCTACCCAAGAACACTAGAGCTGGGAAGAGAAGCCCACACATAAAAAGCCACCATAAAAAGACCAGGAGACATAGCAGATCTACTTAATACAAAGAAACAAATACAGGGAGGCAGCCAAATTTGGAAGATAAAGGAACATGCCTCAAAGGAAAGAACAGGAGAAATCCACAGAAAAAGAACAAAATGAAATGGAGGCAAGCAAGCTACCAGATACAGAGTTCAAAACAATAGTTATAAAAATGCTCAAGGAACTTAGGGGAAGAGTGGATGAACTGAGTGAGAACTTAAAGAAATAGAAAAAAATTAAAAAGGAGATAGAAACCATAATATATAACCAGTCAGAAATGAAGAATACAATAACTGAAATGAAGAGTACACTAGAAGGAATCAACATCAGATTAGGCAAAGCAGACAATTGAATCAGCAATTTGAAGGACAAGGTAGCAGAAAACACCCAAGCAGGGCAGCAGAAAGGAAAAAGAAATTTTAAAAATGAAGATACTCTAAAGACCTTCTGGGACAACATCAAGCATAACAACATCTGCATCATACAGATACCAGAAGGAGAAAAGAGGGAGCAAGAAATTCAGAACATATTTGAAGAAACAATGACTGAAAACTTCCCTAACCTAGTGAAGGAAAAAGACACACAGGTCCAGGAAATGCAGAGAATCACAAACAAGAGGAACCCAAAGAGGCCTACACCAAGACACATCAAAATTAAAATGACAAAAATTAAAAATTAAGAGAATTTTTAAAGCAGCAAGAGAAAGAGAGTTAGCTATCTACAAGGATACTCCCATATGACTGTCAGCTGATTTTTCAATGGAAACTTTTCAGGCTAAAAGGTGCCATAAAATATTCAAA